ATTAATAATATATAGAAATTAAAATATTGATTTGAAATTTGAAACTGGGCCATAAAATCTACTAAGATTTTTAATATTTGCAAATGTTTTGAATCAATTAGAATCTGAATCAAGACAAATTATATTTGTATAAATGACAAGTTGTAATTATATAAGTTTGATAATACTTTTGAATTTTAGTAATTAATTAATAAATTTTATACTAAGAGTATTTATGTTGTTTTTCTAAATTGAAACTAAAATGCAAAAAATAAAAAATCAATTGAGTTTTTGATATTGTCAAAGTAAAATAAATATTTTGTTAAACATATTTGGATTTTGAGATATTTAACTAATTTTGTTATATAAAGGATTCAATTGTTTTGATAATTTTGATTTGAAATAGTTTAAGAATTAGTTTGTTAAAAAATAATAAGAGTAAAAAGTATTTAAATTTTCTTATAATAATTCAATTACTGATTTGTTGTTTAATTTTTTCTTTTTGATTATGTTTTGAAAATTTTTTAATGACTTGTAATAAAATTTAAATAAATATCTTTTTGTTGAATTTATAAAAGTTTTTAAATAAGATTAATATTTCAAAATATTTAATATTTTTATATAATTTGAAGATTTAAATCTAATAATTATTAAATTCAAAAATATCTTGAAGGAAGGCTATATTTAATTCTAATATTTTTTATAATTTTAATCTTATTTTTATTATAGTAGATATTTGTTTTTTAAATTAGATAAGGTGATAATACTATATATTATATATATTGCTAAAATTTATAAATCTATAATACAATTAATATAATTATTTGGTATAATTAATTGAGTTATTATTAAAATATATAAATAATTAAGACATAATATAATTAATTTTTAAGAATTTTGAAAATTGAATTAGTAACAAATAATTTATATCACATGTATAATATATATATATATAGTTGTTTATAATTATTAAAAGTAATAGTAATTTGTTATTAAAGTTTTTTTTATTATTATGAATATCTAAAAGATTTTTAAAATAGCCTAGTGCTTTTATAAGATATTGATATTATAAATTTTGATTTTGATTATTAATTAAATTTATTAATATTGAAATTATAAATTTTTATTTGTATTTAATTATTATTTTTTTGTAGTTTTTTTTTTATTTTTGTTTATTATTTATTATTGTATTTTTGTATTTAATATGGTATTGTTTTTTTGATTTTTTAAATGATTTTGTTTTTGTAAATTATTATATTTTTAAAATTTTTGTTTGAACTTGTGTCTTTTTCTTTTTTTATTTATATTTTCGGATTTGATAATTGTATACAAATTGAAAAAAATTATTTATATATTATTTTTTTTATAAATTATTTATATAACAGAAAATAATAATTATTTTTTCTAAAATTCAAAACCTATATATTTTTATTTATAGGTTCATAAATAAATTATTTTTTTAAAAAACAGTTATGTCTATTTTTTGTGATTTTTTAGTTAAATAACTTAAAATCAAAACAGATACAGTATATCATTGAATTATACAGTATTTTTAAATATTATCAATATATAATAATATAATTTTTTTAATTGATTTTTTATTTATTTAATTAATTTTATAAAATAAAAAAAATTAAAAATAATTATTTATATTATTTTTTAATGTTAAATATGATAATATAGTTATTAATCATCATGAACAAGTTGATATTCAATTTGTTATATATTTTGTATACAAGAGATATTGTCATTATTTTTTTTTCGTAATATATAATTTTTTTAAATGTTATTAAATTGTTAAATACAAACATGCAGTATGAAAAATTCTCAAGATAATTTTTGCCATCGATTTGAATCGAAAAAATTATATTTCGAATATTGGATGTCGCATTTTTACAATGTACAGTAAATTGTCAAGTTTATTATGCTCTCATTGTATATATATGTACGGCATATACTATATATAGCATGTAAGTGTACAGTATATGGACGTAACAAGATCTCAACAAATTATTTATTTATTTTTGATTTACGAACGATGATTAACCGGATAAAGAATAGACCATAAGTCAAAATAATTATGGATCCCAAGAAGCCAATATATTTTGTCAGGATATTAATGAGAAACCTAAATATAACGTGTATATACACACAGTATTATCAAACGGTGGATTAGATCTACGGATATCATATTATCATATGCCTCTTGATGATACATTTGTTCGTCAGGACCTGTCCCTGAACTGTTTACGGACTCTCATGCAGTGTCGGGACTTAGCATATTCGGTTGAGTCTTTTGTAAAGATCATACAGTACTAGAATGACGTATGATGCGTTCACAGTGATGATTGTTTAGCATCTATAAATGGTGCGTACACGAGAAAACGTGTCTTCCTTAGATATACGGTCGGATTACCAATTTTGGTAATGGAATCACCAAACGGGCAAATTAAGTATTAACATTCATTCCTCATACGACACCATCTTAACTTCCTCATTTAAACTTACCCGTCTCATTGAGAATCCGAGTGTCAATGGTCCAATGAGTTCTTTCAGAAAGTTTCGAAAGGCATTTATTTAATAAAAACAACGACACTCTCATGTGAAACTCGATAAAAAAAAAATACGATTGGGCAGCATGGAACCTTTTCCGTTTGAAGAAAAAAAACATGGAGGGTGCGGTGACTCACCGGAGGATAAAATTAGGCGGGATTTTATCACTTCGCACAGACAACGGCAAAAGGAGCTTAAGAGAAAATAGGTTAGACCCTTCTCACAAGGTAAATGTCAAATTACGCATTGTTACTCCCCGATTATTTTCCAAACAAAATATACATGCTCATGCTAGTAATCTTTGATACTAGTTGACTATACTTTGTTCGTCATGTTTATTTGTTAACTTTCATGTTTACCGGGCGTGGTAGAAAGTTTAAAGAAAAAAAAGGCTAGCGTAGGGTCGACCTTACTTCCAAGGCTGAACACAATCTCGGGGGGTTAAACCATAAAGGACGGATGGGAATTCACACTATACCGGAAATTGATAATAAACAAACCGACGGTTTTTTTTTACTTAACAAAGGATTTCAAACGATTTAACTGAATTAGTTATAACAATGGTAGGCATTTTTTTTTTTTTTCTGGTTGTGTTCTTTTCATTTGTTCTTTTAAGAAAGATGTGTCAAAAGATGAGATTTTGTTCGACACACGTGCAAGCACGGTCAATTTTTTTTTTGACAAGAAGCTAACCGATTTTTTTTGCAATGCAGATGTCAGGTCAGATTAAAATGACCGCATCGATTGCGGAGGTTGAAAATCACGCACACGGGGAAAGTGTTCGGGTACTTTGCTAACCTAATAAAAAATTAGGGTTATTTATTATTTATTGTTTTTTTGCGCTACTTCTTGTTTTACTTTTAAGACCGCCGTAATAATATCCTAATAGCGTATTGTATTAACAATTTTTACTTACCTTAAAAATATTATTACCGAAAATGGACAACCACCTCAATCAACTTACCAACAAGGAAAAATTATTAATTATCAATCATTCGACAATAACCGATCAAAAATAATAATTTGTCACCAGTCACTCGCGTTCACCGATTGTTTGTGTCTATAAACATTTGCACACGGGAACAAACGGTGTCACCATCGAACTTTCCCATAATAGCGATTAAGTGTAAAAAACAAGTTATTCGTCGGATTATCACGAATCACAAACAATTTCGAAAAACTCATAATATACACCGCATATACTGTACATTTCTTGGCATAAATTTAGATAAATTTCATTTCACGTATAGGAGGTGACATTTTTGAACATTCGTTTTGGTAAGATAAACGTCATTATCGAAAAACGCTGTAGGCACGGTAAATATACAGTATAATGATGATGTCGTGTTCATGGATGGATTGACGATGCACAGGGAGTTTGATAAATCGGAGGTCGCCGTCTTTGGGACAAATTTCTTCATTGAAAGCTTTGTCACAATTTTTATTTTAAATCATCGATGGTCATTGAATGCCAGTGTGATAGGACTCATCAAAGAATATCAGAACTTAGATATTCGTGTGTGTTACCGTGCACGCATTCAATTGATGCATAAAATAATTAAAAAATAAGACCTCATAGTTCACAGTGACGTGCGTGCGTGCGTGCGTACCCGATAAAAAATATATGGTTAGTCCGGATCAGAGGTTAGCGCGTATTGCGTCTTCGCGTTATGAGCTCCATGACGTTCGAATGTTTGTTATGTCGATCGCGTGTTGTCTGTTTTCCTCGTCATGACGTTTGATTTACGAAGAGCAATCTACCTGGTTCATGATGACACACTTGAAAGATCGGTCATCGTGTTACATATTAAATTATTTTTTTTTCTTAAATAAAATAATTTATTATTTTCCAGTTCGGGTTAAATTGATTCTGATTCGAGTTAGATGAATTCATAATTTTTTTTGTGTCATCCTTTAATTTTCCCTGAGAGCCAATTCCGTTCTTTGAGGACGCCACTATCCAATGGTATAAACACGTTTCCTGGCACAATCCACTTGAATATTGATGTAACGACGCTTCATTATTTTCATTGTTAAATTTAAACGGCAGTTAATTGTGTGGGAATCTGTTAGTGAAACTCTTAAAAGATGAATAATCGGCGTACTTGTCACGAGGGCATTCATTGTGGCTTCATTCGGGTGGTGAATTGTTGTATTCGACTCACTGGAAGTTGTTGGATTGTGCGGTGTGTGCAAGAATTATGTAATTTTCACGAGTTCGTGGCTTTAATTATTGTTTTTGTTTTTGTTTTTTATTCTCACCTTTAATTTTTCCATCACGTATTTCGTGTGATACGGTGAATAACTCGAATGTTCACAATCACCGATCTATCACCAATCCTCCCCAAACTTTATCACCGATTGTACCCAATGAATAATGATAAATGATAAGGGCATGATAAGATTTCCAATGATGCAATAATGTTTGCATTGAAAACAATATGTAGGGAACAATATTCCATATATCCGAAGCATGAAAACCCTAACAAGCATTCGTAGGTCTAACTGGTAAACAATTACTCACCGCAAAAAATTCGAATAGAGATTACGATCAAAGAAATCCAAATTAAAAAAAAATCGGCGTCATTCATTTAAAACCACGTGACAGACACTGACTAATCGGCGTAATTCCACGAGTCGAAAAAGCCACGCACGATAATGTGCAGAGGAAAATGCATTGTTCTTTACGCTGGTAACTCCGGATGCATCATCGGACGAATTGTCAAAATCTACGTGAAACTGTTTCTTATGATATAATCAGGAATCCTGTCATGTCAATTTGTGACCGTCTATGGGAGCCACACGGTGATTAATGATCTTTCGGCGGTTTCACACGATGAACAATCGACGCTATTTTTTGATTCTTGGAAATTCTCACAATAGTGAGATTAGAGGATTCCCAACTGTACTGTATATTCAATACCACTATTGATTTATGGCTTACATATTGACTCGAGGTTTCACTCGCTAATACACTGTATTGTGCAAGGTTTCATACTCTGTCTCTACGAAGGTTGCAGTTAAAAAATCAGTGACTTTCACCCCAGCCTATGAAGATCTTCTCGGTGCCTTCTTCCTTTTTTTTTTTTTCTTTTTTAAAAAAACAAGTTCATTATTCCCTTTGCTGGGTGTACCAGAGTATACGAGATTCAGTTTGGATCGATTACGTTATTACCCGAAAATGGTAAATCTGATAACGCATAATTACATTTGTCATAGGTAGATTATGTCTCGGCGACGTAATGGTGCAGCTGAATAAAGTGTTCCCTTTACTGATTATGTCAACGATAGTGATAATAGAATGATGAGGTTTTATGCTTTAATGAAATAATAAAGAATTTACTTTGTTTATTTAGTAATTAAATTATTTATTTTATTTTATTTTATTTTATTTATGATTAGTGAAATGCAGTTACACATACACAATTCTGGGGTAAGGTCAAAGGGTAATGATGATGGTCCCAATATTTAAAGGTGAAGGCATAAACTGTAGAGATTAGCGGGAAAAAAATGACATCGGAGTCAGGGTCCGCAAAACCCCTTGAGAGGACCGGGCGCATTTTCGACACACAAACACTCGGTACCTGGAATTCCATAGTGTCATACCGACAACCATATTATTATGCGGGACCTTTGGGAAAATCGTTATATCTGAAATTACCTCAATTGAGCAATTGAAGTTGAGATTATGGGTTTCTTTAATTTTGTGGCTTTCATAAACATGCGCATTGTATGAAGGAAACCCCTTTAATTATGGAACACAAAATAATTTGTCAAAATTAATCTCATGATATCAGCAATTGAAACAAGCAGAATTCGACGACATCTGTAGGCGTACGATGTGTGAAAACGCTTGTGTCGTCTGTAGGTCCTTTGCAGGTACGGAAGTCCAATTAAATTGCAGGAAACACAGGTTGGTTGATATCTGCTACTTGTTAATTCCCTATATGTAACTTACAATAATCATTTGAGATCTCTGTTATGTTGGCAAGATGTGGGGACCGCAAATCCAATTACTCCCGGCACTTGGCATAACAGTCACGAGAAGATCGATAAACAAGCAGGCAAGAGGACACGGTACCCGCCCCGTCCACTTATTAACTAATGGATCAGGGGCAGATGTTCATGGATGTTTTGAAATTTTAAATGTTCAAACACTGCAATTTTTTGAACTTATGATGGCAAGAATCGTCTGTTATCAGCATGGGAATATTACATTTGCGCCTGATATTCTTATTAATTAAATCCAAAATTCTTCGACTCACCATATTACACTATGATGAAAATCAACAATCAACAATTGTATATGTATATGTGATATTTGCCTGTTATAAGATATGCCGTGTATATGTACGGCGTATATGGTAATCTATATTACACATGTACTGTTGAAATTTTGGATTTTTGATCATACGATTTCTTTATTCGATTAATCAGCAGTGTTTATTTATTATTATTTAAATGTGTTCGAGAAAGGCATGTTTTCTATCAATCTACTGTATTATTTCAAAATCATAATTTCAATATAATATCTGATGATCATTTTATTCCAATTTGACTTTAAATTGTATCATATTCAAAATTTTGATTCAGCATACTGTAGTAAAAATCATGTTACCTATTATTTCATAATATAACAATAGATGTGAATTTATATATCAAGTTAAAATTTGTTAAAAATGTTTTTTTGTTACTTATGATTATCAAATAAAAATAATTGTATGTGGAATCAGTTTATACAATTAGATTACAGTATATAAAAAATAAATTATACTAATAGAAAAATTGTATAAAAAATTTTTTTTATTTAATTATTAACAAAAATTTTATAAATTAAAACTGATTTTATACAATTTGATACTTGCTTAAAAAATAATTATTCTATAAACAACTAATTTAAAACTACAGGTAATAACAAAGATATATTATCTTTTTTAAAATTCAAGATAAAAAATTTCTTATAATAATATAGTTGAAACAAAATTTTAATTAGATTAAATAGTCTAAAACTAAAATTTTATTTAATATATGAATTTATTTACTTGATATAAATTAATATATTAAAATATATATTTTATATTTGATAAGATTAATTAAAATCCATTTTTTCTATTTAAAACTTATAAATAAAACTTTATTAAAATATATATTTTTTAAATACAGTGCTGGTCATAAGTAACCGTACACCTTTTAAAAATTCAAATCTAATTCAATTGTTTTAAAAATGTTAGGACAAATAGTTTATCACAATTCCTGATCCTCCAAAATTTTTCAGATTTTTGTGATT